CATAAACACATTTCATTACACCAAATACACAAAATAATGTTATTTTTAGCAACATCATATGACCCCTTTAATGTAGAAATTACATTTGTTTTTCTGTAGTATTTACTTCACCACAAAATCGTATTTATCAGTCTAAAAGGCACTGACCTATGAGAAGCTGAAGGAGTGGACCAAACCCAGCATGATGCATCAACAAGAAGTTGAAGTATCTCTGCCCAGATTTAAGATGACAGAATCCTATGACATGAAGAGTCTTCTGATCAGCATGGGAATGGAGGATGTGTTTGACGGGCAGAAGGTGAATCTTTCAGGCATGTCTCCCAACAATGACCTGGTGGTGACGAAGGTGATTCATAAAGCCTTTGTTGAAGTAAACGAGGAAGTAACCGAAGCGGCTGGAGCCACCAAAAATTATGAAAATTATGAATATTCATTTCTATAATATGAAAGGCTTTTACACTGTTTACATATATATATTGAATTTATTGTCATTAATGGTGGTAGAGCCCCCTTCTGGTGAACAGATGCATACGGCATACTGCAAAAACTTGGGTTTCATGTCTATTGTGGTAGCTTTGAAGGAAAAATAAATAACTAAAAGTCTCCAGGAAATAATTACTTTAATGGCCACTGCAGCAGCATCATAAGGTTTGATCAGTGCATAATTATTAGGCTGTATTCATATTACATAATATAATTATATCACATTTATCCACAACACATGACCTGTTTTACGCAACCAAACATCTGACAAGCCCACATAGTAAAAACTACACAGATCACAATTACTACATGAAGTGTTAATAACTGTAACTGTAACTAAACGTCATTTAGAAAAGCAGCTTGGGGTGTGTGGCGATGAGGATTATAATTATCATTTCATTTTGTTTTTACTATGTTTTCTAAAAGGTTTCACAGTGACACCTACTTCCAACCTTCATCAGCTAATCTGTTATTGGTTCATACACGCATTATGATTCAGAACGACTAAATATGATTCATACAATTATGATTTATCTTTCTTGTATTCAGGTTTAGTTTTTTCACCTAAACTCTTTGATTTGATTTCAATTTACTATACACAAAGAGTGAAATGAAGAATGAATCATTTAAGTAGATAAATGCATCAATTAATATTAAAAAAACATTTTTTTTTTTTTACAGGAAGGCTGGACTTGGATTAAGGGCTTTAGCTGTTTTAGGGTGAGGCATCATTTATACTGACACCCTTAACTGTTCATTCATTCGACACAGACACACTGGAAAACTTCTTCATTTCTGCTGCTTTATTCCAGGTAATGCTTTTACTGAACTCTGCTCGTTAAAGATACTTTTCTGAATGTAATTTAGATGGTATATCTACACAGTAATAAAAGTTATCAATTAAAACAGATCTAATAGAACTAACAGCTTGTGTTGATGCAGAAGATCTACCCACCTTCAAATCTGCTGTTATTTTAACGATTGCTATTTCTTGCTCAGCTTGTGAAAATGGAGCGCTTGTCTGCAGCAAACACACGATTCTCTCTCAACCTGTTCAAGAAGATCAGTGAAGGAAACGCCTCAAAAAATGTGTTCTACTCTCCGATCAGCATCTCCTCGGCTCTGGCCATGGTGTCGCTCGGAGCTAAAGAAAACACAGCGGAGCAGATGTTTCAGGTGATCTCACACTTAATGCATTTTTATGGTCAGTTGTTCATAATTTAATATAGCAGTTCTTTATTGGCATCTGTGGTTCCATGGAGAACCATTTACATGGAAACTTTCCATTGCACAAAAGGGACTTTATTTTCAAAATGCATTTCACTCTAAGATAAAAATGCTTCTGTTGCATCACTGCAAAAAATAGATGTTGAAGTTTTCAAAAGAGTGAAGTTATCTTTTTTACCACTATAATGCTGTGTAGGTCCTCAGCTTTACCAATCCTCCCACACACTGCGGGACTCCAGTACCTAATGTTTCAATGGACCAAATTCATTCCAGCTTCAACAAGCTCATGAGTGAACTGAACAAACCAGGAGCGCCGTATGTGTTGAGTCTTGCCAACCGCCTCTACGGAGAGCAATCCTACCAGTTTGTCGAGGTAAGACTCAAACCAAATAATTGGTAACTCTAATTTCATTTGCATCTCAGTTGATTTGCTGTTACAGAAATTCCTGAATGATGCAAAAAAATACTATGAAGCCAGACTGGAGGAGGTGGACTTCAAGAAGAATTCAGAGGCTGCACGTGTCAACATCAACAAATGGGTGGAGAAAAAAACACAAGGTGGCAAACCGGGATGAACATAAATTGAATTTTACATGTAGTCTACACTGCATATGTTTTTCAGCACCTTAACAATTAACAAAATCTCTTTTCAAAGCCATGTTTGGCATCATGTGTTCTTGAATTGAGCTACATAACTCTTTGGAAGTTAAGGTTTTGATATACTTTCAGTAGTTTTGTTCACAGTGTAATACTGTGCAACATATTGAATAAAGCATTGACTTTATATTTGGCCATGAAGTTTACAATTCTATTAGAACGACGTCAGGAGCTTTGAGACAGATGCCTCAATAGTGTCGCTTTAAATCAATGCTCAAAGTGAAAACTGTCCATTTGAATTTCAGAGAAGATCAAGGACTTGTTGCCGCCACGAGGTGTTGATGAAACTACAAAACTGGTCTTGGTGAACGCCATCTACTTCAAGGGGAACTGGGAGAAGAAATTCTCAAAGGACGCCACCAGAGATGGACAGTTTAAGATGAACAAGGTGAGATTTCAATGATGAAATATTCTGAACAGTCATGAAATATGAGGACTTGTGACATCTTTCTATTAACCTATTGATGCTTGGCAGACTCAAACTAAACCAGTGAAGATGATGCAACAGAAGTCAAAGTTTCCTCTGGCCTTCATCCCAGAGATGAACAGTCAGGTTCTGGAGCTGCCGTATGTCGGGAAGAATCTCAGTATGTTGATCATCCTTCCTAACGAGATTCAAGGTGAAACCACAGGCCTTCAGAAGGTGAGACAGCACAGATTATATGGTGCATTTTTTCATTATTTGGAATTGCTGGTTGCTGCAAACATATAAAACGTTGAAGAGTTACTGTCTGCATGACTTGCATTTTTAATATATTTTTGAATGAAATTAACACAACTCCCTTATTATCCAGCTTGAAAAGGCACTGACCTTTGAGAAGCTCATGGAGTGGACCAAACCCAGCAAGATGCTTCAAGAGGAAGTTCAAGTATCTCTGCCCAAATTTAAGATGGCAGAAACCTACGGGATGGTGCAGTTTCTGCGCAGCATGGGAATGGAGGATGTTTTTGACCCACAGAAGGTGAATCTTTCAGGCATGTCGTCCAACAACAACCTGGTGGTGTCAAAGGTGATTCATAAAGCCTTTGTTGAAGTAAATGAGGAAGGAACTGAAGCAGCTGCAGCCACCGGCATCACCATCACAACAATGTCAATGCCATTACCACGGAAAACCTTTATTGCAGACCATCCATTCCTTTTCTTCGTCCGTCATAATCCCTCCAACAGCATTCTGTTTTATGGACGCTTCTGTTCTCCTTGAAGATACTAATGATGCAGTGATAATACGAAGTGTTTGCATTTCTCTGATAAATAAAGGCTCTAGCAAATAATGGAGTGACATTTTTTCAATGCATTTACTTTCACAGCACTGATTCATGAGTTCTGACACAAAACAGACTACAGAATGGAAAAAATAAAAGATGCACCAGTCATGTCAATGCATTTTGTGTGAAAAAAATGGTTGCTTGTTAGTGAATACCAACCACTGCAAATAGCAAACAGATCGAAACACCATTGCTCTGTAACAAAATTATGTTAACAAAAACACATTACAATAAATAAATATGAGATGAATAAAACTGTATTTAACACATATTGCCTATACTGTATACAGCTTTATTATTTTTTGTTATTTTATATTTGTTTTTATAAGTGGATCTTTATTATCCCTAATTAGACTTACTATTTTGCATTTTAGGCTCATTTTGAGCAAAAATTAAGTGTTTTCTCACTTTCTCAGATGTTGAAAATGTAAATATTAAATTGCTACATTTCTATTTATATATATATACGTGTATATATATATATATATATATATGGGTGTACTTTTGTCCCCCGTTAAGATATGTGTGTGTATAACGGCGGAACTTTCGCTTAACGTTTAATTGTTCTGCACTGTTCAGGTGCTGTTATACAGTACATACAGACAGAATTACTTTAATTTAATGTGAGTAGTTAGTATGTGATTACCTTGAAACCGATAACAGTGTCTCTTTGGATAAATGATGATAGGGCTCCGCTCTCATCCAGGTGACGTTCTTCACTGCTGAGGTAGCAGTGCGAGACCATAATCAGTGTAGTTCGCACTGTTCCTTTAGGCTAGACTCCCATGTGTTCATACTGAATTGCGAGCTGGTGTTAACATTATTTGGTTTGGCTTTACATTGAAATGTCATACTTACACCACTGAGCTGATGTTAAACTTTATAATCAAAATGATGCTATGTGACAATGCTCAACACTATGGTATCAGAGTGCTATACTTTGTAAAACCTTTTTACTATGACAATAAAGCTACTTAAATATGAATTTGTCAATTTTTCAGACCATGTTTCTGTTTATGGTATTTAACACTGATTACTTTCCTGTGACTGATCAAGCTATTATATGAAGCAAGAATGAGTAACAAAATGCTTTCTTTGTGTCCAGATTTGACTAATGCAAACACTTTGATAAATATGTCTTTAATAATGTCTAAATATATATCCAAATATAAGTAACTAATTATGTGGGAATCCAAAGTTCCCAACCACTATAGGAACACACAGTCATGTTTATATGTTTATTTATAGAGAGCTAAACAGTCATCTAGTGGTTACACGATAGTATTACAGATGATAAATGGTGAATAAGTTAGAGATAAATATTTGAATAAATATTTTAGTAATATTTTGTAAAATCCCCTTAAATTACAACATGTTAAATAAAAAATTATTACTGTTGGTTCAATGATCATTTAACCAAATTTGTGTTTAAAAAATGGATCAGTGGACAGGTGAAATTATGCATGTATTAGGCTAGTGCAGATACTAGACC